CCCTCCTAGGGCAGGGTTTTTATGTCTGCAGCCAGATCTTGAGGAGTTTTAAGAAGAAAATGTGAACTCATTCTTATAATAACCATTCTGTCCTGTTTTGCAACAAACCAGTTTCAGTTTATTTCTTACAAGAACCTGAAAAATGTCGAATGTGTACTTGTAATAAATATTATTGCATTTATCACACTGTTAGACTGACTTTAGGCTGTTAGCAAGTTAGGACACATTTCTCATCATCTGTTAAATGTGTATCATTTAATTAAAATGTAATTCAAAACTCATCATGATATAGACCCATTTTCACCAGTTCTCATTCTTCTAAAAGAATAACAGACCTGCAGCACACAGCTGGGAAAAATAGGGCAGTTTTTATTATATTTTATACCCAGGTAAGGCACATGCATTTATCCTATGTATATATCTGCTTTGATAAGATCATCTGAATGCGTGAGAGCCAGTTTATATAAAATAAGTCTAACAGTGTGATACATGCAACAAGATTTATTATGAGTTCAAATTTTATGTTTTTCGGGTATTTTTAAATAAAAGAAAAAGGGATTTTTTTTTTTTTTTGCAAAACAGGACAGAATGGTTATTATAGAGCCAGGGGCGATTCTAGCATCAGAGGTTTGGGGGTGCTGAGCACCCAGAGATCTGCCCCAAAACCAGAGTTGTTCTAGTTCTTGCAAGCGGAGGGAGCAAACGCCCCATTCTTTCACGGCAGGAACACCTAAGGGTTTGAAAAAAGATTTAGAGCAAGTGTTCTAAGTAAGGTTTGTAAAAGTCTATTTAGATGGGAACGCCAGAATGTCTTCACTTTAAAAAGTTGTTGACTATTAAAACTCAACAAATCTGTTTTATTGCCTGTGTTCAACAAGAGTTTAATCAACAAGCTGCAGCTGGACCCAGGCTAAATATGTAGTAGCTCCTAAAAAAAGACCGAAAGTGTAGTACGTGCTTTCAGACACTGGAGGGCAGCAACTCCCCATCATCTCTTCTGTAACTGCAAGAGTGTTGTTCTATTTATTTGCCAGCGGAGGGCGCTAATTCCCCACTCTCTCAAGGCAGCAATGTTTGAAAAATATTGGAGCAAGTGTTTCTAGAAGAGAAGAGAAGAGAAGTTAAGAGAAGAGAAGAGAAGAGAAGAGAAGAGAAGAGAAGAGAAGAGAAGAGAAGAGAAGAGAAGAGAAGAGAAGAGAAGAGAAGAGAAGAGAAGAGAAGAGAAGAGAAGAGAAGAGAAGAGAAGAGAAGAGAAGAGAAGAGAAGAGAAGACTTTCTTTATACCACAGTGGGGAACTTCACTTGCTACAGCAGCACATACATTTGAAACAAACAGAGAAGAAAAATAAGATTGCAGGTAAACACAGAAAGGCAATAAGCTATTATTGTAGCCATCAATCACTAAAATCAACAAATAAAAAGAAAACTTCTAGAACTATGCAGCATAAAGGACACATCTGAAATCACACAAGTGTTGAAAACACATTGAATATTTTATTGATGTTATTGCCTACCAGGATACGTTAAACTGAGTTATCCACTCTAACTACAGAGGGGATGAATGGTGTATGGCAAGGGCGCAGATAGGATTTTCAAACAGGGAGGACAAAGTTCCAATGTACCTTCCCCCAATCACACACACACACACACACACACACACACACACACACACACACACACACACACACACACACACACACACACACACACACACACACACACGCACACGCACACACACACCAATTAAAATAATGCTGATAGCGTGGACTAGAAGACAGGTGATGGTTTACGTATTTAAATGATGATCAGGCTGCTGTAAAATGTAATCTTCATCCACACCCGGACAGAATTATCCTCTATTCTAT